TGCCACGCCCCTCACAACATACCCTAAACATGCCACGCCCCTCACAACATACCTTAAACATGCCACGCCCCTCATGACATACCCTAAACGTGACACGCCCTTCACTATAAACCCAGACTCATGCATCTCGTTCTAATTACCTGTAGTGACTCCACATCCTCAGCTGATGCGGTGGCGTGGTAAGACAGGACCTGGAATGAGAGGAGATGAATTAAACAAAAGATTATGAAGAAGAGGAGGAGGAGGAGGAGCGGGAGGATGAAAGAGGAGGTGGTGGAGGAGGAGGAGGAAGGAGGAGGAGCGGGAGGATGAAAGAGGAGGTGGTGGAGGAGGAGGAGGAAGAGGAGGGAGGAGGAGGGGAATAGGAAGAGGAGGAGTATAGGAGGAGGAATAGGAATATATGAAGAAGAGGAGGAAGAGGAATGTAGGGAGAAGAGGAGGAGGAAGAGGAAGTGGAAGAGCAAGAGGATGAGGAGGTGGATGAGGAGAAGGAAGAGAAGGAGGAGGTGGATGAGCAGAAGGAAGAGAAGGAGGAGGAAGAGGAGGTGGAAGTGTAAGAGTAGATGGAGGAGGAGGAGGAGGAGGAGAACTATACCTGAATTACATTACAATTCAAGGATCTTCACACGGGAACATACTTGACATCTTACCTCGATAGCAACTTTCTGCCTCGCCATAGCTTTCTCCAGTTCGTTGTACATGAGGGTGTTATTAATGCCCAGTCCACAGAAGATGGTGAAAGCCTGAGGGAAAAGAAAGGAAATGATATTCAGTGAAGCACGTAACTATAGTATATTTGATGGTAAGATTTAGACCTCGCTCTTTGTCTCTTTTATCTGTCTGTCTCTGTCTGTTTCTCGCTCTCTCTCTCCCTTCCCCCTTTCCTCTCTCTCTTTTTTTATTTCTGTCTTTTTGTCTGTTCCTCTCTCTCTGCACACACACACACACACACACACACACACACACACACACACACACACACACACACACACACACACACACACACACACATAGACACACACACACACACACACGCACATACACACATATCTATATCTTCCCCCTTCCCTCTTTCTTTCTTTCTATCTGTCTGCCTGTCTCTCTCTTACTCTTTCTCTCTCTCTATCTATCTATCTATCTTTCTCGATCTCTCTCTCCCTGCCTCCCCCTTTCTCTTTCACTCTCTTTTTCTTTCTGTCTATCTCTGTCTGTTTCTCTCTCTCTCTCTCTCTCTCTCTCTCTCTCTCTCTCTCTCTCTCTCTCTCTCTCTCTCTCTCTCTCTCTCCCTCCCCCCTCTCTCCCTTCCTCTCCCCCACCGCCCTTTCTCTCTCTCACTATCTCTTTCTCTTTCCCTTCCCGCCAACATGGCAGCAAATAGCTCATTACAGTCGGTAAAACTCTACGGGGCGCCCCGTCAAGTTTGACTATCTCACACTGCGAATGATAAACAGCCACTCACCCGTTCCTACCTCTCCTCTTCTTGATTAATGGGATGATACTAATTACCTGCCTAGAGAAATGTGTTTCTTCTTGAAAAATACCGGACATATCAGTGATAGTGATGATGAAGAGATAAATGTGGTAATAATAATGTTTATGATGATAACTATAACGATAATAACAATTACAATGACTATAAGAGCAGCAACAGTAAAGATAATAATGAAGACAGGGACGTTAATGATCATAAAAGTATGAGTAATATGTATGATAGAAAAAAAATTATATAAGATTATATGAAATGATATAAAAATAATAATGATGATGATAACAATAATAATAATAACAATAATGATGATATTAATAATAACAATAATAATATCAACAACAATAACATCACCACCACCAACAATAATAATAAAATCCCCAACACCTATGAAAACATCCTGAATTCCCCCTTGCAAAGACATCCCTTTTAATGCATCCAATCCTCACCTCAAAGAGCTGTTCGTCGTTGTCATCAAAGGGCTGTCCATTCAGCTTGTTAATGATCTTCGCTACACCTGAAAAAAGAAATGAAAAAAATAGCATACAAGGAAGCGTCAGTATGGAGCTTCAGACGTGACGGGAATGGGAATGGTAATGCTGATAAGTCTTTCTGTTTTATTGATCAAGGTATTTATGTGTCTCGTGGTGAAGGGGTGACTGTGTGATGGGTTATCTCTGTCTTTTTATTTTTTGTTTGTATGTTTAACTATATTTATGTTTATCTGTCTTTCTGTATCTCTCTTCATCTGTCTGTCTGTATATTTTTTATCTGTGTATTTATCCATCTGGTTAACTGTACATTTATATATCTATCGACCTATCTTTATATCTCTGTTTCTGCCTGTTGGTCTGAATAAACTCACCTAAAAGTTCATGTGACAATTCAAGAAATTATGTAACATCCTTGTTTCTTTTTCTCGTTTCTTTGGCTAACACAGGTCCCTCTCTCCTCTTCCCTTATATATCCTCTCTTCTCTACACTCTCTTCTCTTCCCTCTTTCTGTACTTCTCA